CTTGGAGGAACACTTCCATCATGGTGGAGGTGGGGGGGAAGGCCTGCCGCTTGGCGAACGGGCTATGCACAGCGGATTCCGAGGGATTCTTTAGATCTGCAGGCCATCAAGAGAGAAATGTTGGCAGGAGGGAAGGCTGGGAAAACGAACGGATCGCTTCAGACGCTCCTTCGACAAAGCACCTGGGTGCTGCGGGGTGTCGCTGCCCCGAGCAGAAAGGCCGACGCTGGAGAGGTAGAGCCCAATCCAGCCACGAGCAACTTGCTTGGTTACAAAAACCCTCCGCCGCCTCTTGTCCTCTCTTGCGGGGCGCCTGGAATGTCTTACCATACTGCACAAGGGAGGAGGGCTGGCTCGGGCTGCTGATGTCCCACGAGGAGGCTGTGTTGCTGCTTCCCGATGGTTGGGGGTGCTGGGCCGCCAGCTGGGCGAGTGCCTGAGCCGTCTTGAACTGCTCCAGGAACTGAGAGCCGGTGGTGGTGGTTGTGGTGGTGGTGCTGCTGCTCTTCCCCTCCCCCACTTCGCTGAACCCCTTTCCCAGCACACCGACCTGAAGGAGGTAAAAGGATCCATTTTTCAGGAGTCACTGAAAAAAAGTGCCTTACGACTGGTCCTCACACTTACGACTGTCGCAGCATCCCCATGGTCATGTGATCACAATTCGGTTGCTTGGCAACTGTCACGCATTTACGACAGCCGCAGTGTCCTGCGGTCACGCGATCGCCATTGGCAGTTGCATTTCACTTAATGACCGCTTTGCTTAGCAACAGAGATGCCAGTCCCAATTAGGGTTGTTAATACACACACACTCACACCTTCAAGTCAGTGTTGACTCCTGGCAACCTGGAAGTGGTTTGCCCTTGCCTGCTTCCTAGGGCTGAATAAGTGGCCCAAGGTCTCCCAGCTGGCTTTGTCCTAAGGCAGGTCGAGAACTCACGGTTTCTAGTGATGACTTACTACACTATACCAAACTGACTCTCCATATAGAGATATATAGATATATAGATATACGGAGAGCCAGTTTGGTGTAGTGGTAAGTCATCACTAGAAACTTAAGAGACTCTGTGTTCTTGTATATATACACATACACACATACATACTCTCTCTCTCTCTCTAGAGAGAGGAAGAAGCCAGAGGGGAGCAAAAAGGCTGAGCGTCTATTGATGCAATTATCTGCACCCTCAGAGCCAGCATTAACCTACGCTTAACTGGCTAAATGCAAAAATGGGCACAGGGGGTGAAATTTCCCCTCTGCCCACCTCAAGAGACAATTCTTTCCAAGAAATCTAACTGAAAAGACTCCGCAAAGATCCACAGGAGTTTCAGAACCATTCCTCCGTAGCTTATGGAGGACTCCTGATTTTTTGGGGGGGCAGGCTGGCTCTGCAGGTGAAAAAGGAGTGGGCCATTTCCTCACCATGCCATGGTGAGAGAAGGTGTTCCCCGAATTCGACTGGGATATGGCGGTTTGTTTTGAATTGCTGAACACCAGCGGCTGGCTGAGAGTTGGAGCCTGGGAGGAATCCAGACTGGGCGACTCATTTTCCAGCGAAGAAGGAGTCTTTCCTAAGAGCACCGCAAGGTCGATTCTGGAAGGGAAAACACCAGCAAGATTTTAGCAGGGGCTGGCAAGCCCACACTGGTTCACCACTGACCAAATACCAAAGCAGGATGTTCCTTTTTAATGGGCTTTTCTGCAGAGTCCTTGGTGTTCTCTGAGCTTGGTTGTTTTCTTGCAGACGTTTCGTTACCCAGCTAGGTCACATCTTTGTGGTGCTCTGCTTAACTGTGAAACTCTAGGACGTGAATTAAGCCCTGGTTTGCTACCAGCTCGCAATTGCTGGTGTTGTACAACAGGCTCGGCAGCAAATGTACAAAAACTGTCCACTGACATATACAACCCTAAATAGCCGACAGCGTTGGACGATGCAGAAACTCAGTTATCTTTTGGTCCATGGCCCATCTACTGCGGAGTAGCAAGGGAAAAAGTAATGCGTGGAAAGATTCTGCTTACAGAATTTCTCCTCGGCATCAACCTTCGGCACGCATAGACTGACCCTGGGCTGAGTAAGAACACTTGCTTTATCCCCCTTCCCCCCATCCCAAAAAGCCTCCCCAATGGCTAAACGGTAGTAGAGACAAAGGGATCACCTCTGTCCAGCTGTGATGGTCACGTTTTCCGCAGGCAGTGGCACAGAGGAGACACTGGATGCAGTGAAGATCTTCGTTTCTGAAAGCTGGCGGAGAGAAATAAAGGAACGCAATGAAGCCTGCCCGAGTTCATTAAGCAGAAAGGCAGGAAGAGGAACGGTGGGTACCTACATCTTCATTCCAGTCCTCGGTCCCCCATTCCTCCGTTGCTGTCCTCCACGCACCTGCCAAGCAAGACCCAGAGATCAACCAGGAGGTGCGAGCAATTCTAAGCACCAGTTACAAAAAGCAGAAGGGGGGAGATTTTAGAGAGCAATGCAAATAGCTAAGCAGGTGGGTGACCCTTGCCCAGACAGACAGAAGCTGGGGGCCACAGAGAGGCAAAGAAACAGCAGCTCAACATACAATCTCCCCCCCACCCAGCCACCACCAAAGCAAAGAGGCTGGACCCTGGAATCACCTCAGCAAAGGGGAACTTCCTTCGTCCTGACATGTAACTCACTTCCCTTTGGAAAGATCTAACGTCTCCCTACTAAGCTGGATTCCAACTTCGGGTGCTTCCTGATCTCCCAAAATTAAGCCTTTCTAGTTTCACCTGTGACAGGATGATCAGTGGCACCAGGTCAGGGATCCTTGTCTTGGGACACTTCTGAGCTTAAGGACAAAAAGTTGGTGGGTTTTTTTTTGTTTTTGGTATGCGTATATATGGATAAATGATAGTCAACTTTCTCTTTCTGCAAAGAACACGTGTAGGACTATCTGATACTGAAAATGAAACTGGCTTGGCCTTCTTCCCACAAACAGGAAGGTGGTGAAACACATAAACACCATAAACTCAAGTTAGTTAGAGTTGATGTTTACTTTAAGTGCGTTTAACTGAAAACACAACAGAGACTTGCCCCCATCTCAATTCAAGTCCTTTCAACGTTTCTGGGTACTTTCCAGGGCTGAGGAACTAACCACTTTAGAACATTTCAGAAGTTCATTTCAAGGTCCAGGAAAAGGCGAGCAGGAACGGGAATCACATCAGAAGACTCAGGGTCATTTAAAAAAAAAAATCTGCTAGTTTCTGCAAGTTTCCTCCCCCACCACATAGCCCCAATGCGGGTCAATTAACAGGGCACAGCAGAGGAAGAGAGGCAGTGAAGAACATATAAAGAGAAGCAAACGAATCTTTGGAGGTCTTTATCAAGCAACTGATACCCAGAAGGTCTATTATTCTCCTGACCCTTTACTAAAACTCCAACAGTCTTTCAAATTTAGCATTGATCTGCTTGCAGAAAAGCTGCTCTGAAGCCCAGGGCCATGCTAATCTCTTCAGTCCTAGGTTGACCATAAATTGCAGGCAATGTGGAGGCCTGTTCTAGCACATCGAGAAGACTGGCAGCAATAGGAATGCCAACATTTCTTCGAGGGAACCTTCACTAACTTCAGCGGCAAGTTGCTTCATTGATTAGGCAGAAGCAAATCCAGGCTCACTTCTGAGAGCAACTCAAGAGGAAGTGGTGACCCTTTGCAGGGTACGTTGCAAAACGTACACCTGTGGCCACCAACCCTTTTCAGGTACCAGTCTTAAAAACAAACAGCTTTTGTAACGAGTGGCCCCACATTCCATATTTCTCCTACTAAAGAGTGCCCAGACTGATGGGAACAACATCATGTAGAGACCAGGAAGAACATCTGAGGGTCACGTATACTCCAGACACACTAGTTATTTTCCGTATTGGTGAAGAGAGCTCAAACCACAACAGCTAGATTCATACAGCATGGTAAGCTTCCAAGGCAATCAATCACGACTTAGCATGGCATGAATCCAGCTTCAACAAGTTAGAATACATCTGGATCCACCGGTAGAGAACTGGATCATCTCAAATAGATCTGGATCATCTCCAGAAGATCAACCAAGAGTTCTGACTGCACCTTGCCTAACCATACCAATTCAAAATATTTCTTCCTCATTCTGACCGCACACACAACTTAAAACTGCCAGACATAAAAACACAGTTGAGGAAACTCAGGTGTTGACTCTTGTATGAAAGGGCTTGCAAACTTGATTCTGGATATTGATTAGAAAGTATGTGATAGCTAAGCATCTGCCCTGCTCCATAATTTGGTGGTATGCTTGCCTGGCCCAGACCCAATTTTGCAGCTAACTAACTGGTTGACCTCTGGCTTGTGGTGGGGAAAACCCAAAGTATGCCTACAAATGTCAGATCTGTTCATTCCCAGTTTAGACCCAGTCTAGCTAGACCAATCTTCCAGGTTTGAAGGCGGTATTTCCATCAGTCCTAGCAGACGGAAAATGAGAAGGGGATGGAAGGCCACCATTCTCCCTTGTGAAAATGAGCTGGCCACCTCTGAAAATGGAAAGACAACGCAGCTCAACCAACCTTTCCCAGCCCATGCTAGAGATGATGCGAGTGGTAACCCCACATTACTATAACACTACTAACAACTTGGAGAGGGGTACCAGGATGGGGAAGGGTAAGATGGATTCTTCATCGAACCTAGTTCTTACCTTAGGCTATAATAATTCTTGGCCACACTATCTATTCCTGAGTCATAATGGTACAACCATCACAAGCCACAGAAGGCCCAATCAGTCAGCCTGGAAATCAAGCTAATTTTCACCCCCAAAATGTACCCCCCCTCCAAAAAAAAACTGTAGGGAGAGAGGAAGGTCTGCGTTAGTAAAAGCACAGGCAAGTATGTTACAAATATTCATTAAGTGAACAAAACACAGATGGAAAGAGATGGGGGGGTGGAAAAAGACAAGACAGTAACATATCCACAGATATATTCCAGCTTATTTTAAAAGAAAAAGACAAGGAGATCCGAGGGCAATTAGTGCACCTGGATTTCTCGTACCAGGAGCAGTGTCAAATTTTCGGGGATAATTTGACCCCTCACCCCTAATGTAATCAACTCCTGAAACGAAACAGAATGAAGAAAGAAAAGAACAAAAAAACGGTAAAATGTCATATACTTTAAAAGATGAGATGAGGTGCCCCTCTTCCCCACCCACCACCCGTACCTGTGGATATTGATCAAATTAAAGAAAAAAACTTAAATGCTACTAACTAATAAGGAGAATATGTAACGTGGTGTAAATCTTATGGAGGAAGAGTGGAGAGGTAAGCAGGTTCTAGACACTGGGGAACCATAGACAGAGGGACATATTTCCCCTCTCCTAAAAAAAAAGTTCTTCCTGCTCTTCTTTGATGGTTATCCAAAGACACGGGAGGGTACACAATCTACCTCCAAAGTACTCTAGTGTCCTTTTCGCTGGTGCTAATTTTCTACTACCCACAAGCGAGCATTTTCTCAACGCTTCAATAAGAACATCATGGCTTGGTTTCTTTTCCCAGCAGTTCAGCTTGCTAACGCTAAAAATACACGGAAAATATGCCCACACGGAGGAAGGGGGGCACAGGAGAGAGGAAGAACTTCTACGGTGTCACTACAAGTGAACTTCATGCCTCCTTTCCACGCCAAAAAAACCCCCAACAACTACTGGCATTGAGGAAACCTATTATTAAAATGGTTTGGGGACAGCCACCCAACCTTGTCCTGGTCACAGCAGGCAGTCCTCCAAACTGTCAGGCAACAGGTAAAAAGGGTTTTGAACAATTGTTCTACAGAATTAGCAGTTTCCTACTGGTTCTACAGATGAAAATCACAGGTTGTTCAGCCCCTCCACTACCCCAAAGCAGGCTTAAAAGAAACTAACCTAGTTCTTCAATCATATATATTTATTTCAGGACTCACTTGGTGACATTAAATGCTTCTATGTCCCAGAATTCTGTTACTGCACCTCCCTCCCACCCCCTGGGATTTCAGAGAAGGCTAAAATTTTGGATGCTGAAGACCCCATAAATCATAAAACAGGAAACGCAAGCCGAGAGACTGACTCATCATACCTACTGGAGGGCTCTCCAGGTAAAGGAGACTCACCCGCTAGGTTTTTAACATCCCCAGCATCTGCCCCAAACTTAGGCAGTGCCAAACCCGAGTCACTTACTCGTCCCATCATCTGGCTCAAAACTTCCTGTGTTGTTCCACGTGTTGCTGTTACTATTGCCATAACCTTCATCCGTGCTGGTGGGTTCTGCATAGTCCGCAGGGTTGAAAGTTCTGGGGAGGCAGAAGGAAGTTAGCAAATATCCCAGGAGGCAGTTCTCCTATCTCCAGGTTGACCCAAGATGGTTACTGGTCCCTGGCCGGGAGACTTCAGTCAGATTCTTCCTCGAGGGCTTGCTCTGAGTGCGCAGCTGACAATAGTCTTGCAACTGGGGTATTACTCAGAGCTAGGTGCCCAGCATGAAAAGCTTTGGAAGGGCATCCATAATTCCCTCTCTGCTTTACCCTCTACATCTCCTTGTTAATTCTCTATCACTCAGAAGCCCCACGGGAACCTCAGCACTACCACTAGGAGGACTGGCAAAGAAAACAGGCATGTCTTCTGTTGCTCGGCCCCTCTAACCCGCAACACGTATGCTTCACAACAAACCGCACGCTGCCTATCCCAAATCAGAAACGGAACCAATTCACAAACACAGAGCAACGCTTACCCCATGCCTTGGGCAGAAAATCTTCCTCCCCGTCGTCCAGATCCGCCTGAAAAGACAAGAAATGCTCTGTTAGCTGTCTTCAACATTCACAGCCCCAGGACCTGCCTTTAACCAAGCAGCGTAACAAGAGATCAATTTTCCGTGGTCTTACAAGGTAAGCTGGGCACAAAAGAAGAGAATGTCACAGATGGGAAAGTTCCAGCTAAAATTCCTTCTCAGCAACTATTAGCAGCTATTTTCCTTCTTACGGGTCTTGTTCACCCTACGTTTCTCAATAAAGATGATTTGCCGTATTGCTAGAAGGCAGATACCCACCCACTCTTCCTTGCTCACCTCTGCCTCGCCCACGCCCCCGTCGCCCTCTCTCTGTGCCTCTACCAGAAGATCCACTTGTCTTGCCACCATCCAGTCCGTTCTCTTGGCCCCGAACTGAAAAACAGAAAAAGGCGCTGGGAGATTTGCAAGTGGTGAATGTAACGCAGAAGAGAGCGAGGAAAATAAAGGGAACTCAACAGCAGGCTGAGAATATGTTCTGCCCGATACTGATGCGAAACCATCTTGCCGTCCTTTAAAAGGGAAACGACCAGAAAAACACGCTGCTCTATCCCCCAAAGCCAGGGAGAAGCCATACCAATTCAGCATACCCCAAGTCTTTTAAGCTGAACTTCAGAAGCATGAAGTTATACAATCTCAAAGAAACAAACGTTATGGCCACAAACTCCCTGGCAGCGGTCGGGGAAATAAACCTACTTGGTGGGAATGTGAAACAGTCACGTACGCTCAACTGAATAGTTGAGCTGAAAATCTGCATTTGCATATGCAGATATCAATGCATTCTTTCCCAAAATCCAAGCCTCTTTCTCACTCAGGATGGCTGGATAGTTGGCATACAAAACATTATTCCCTGAGAGATTGGCTCTACCTCTCTTAGAAGAAGCTGGTACCCAGAAATATAAAATGTCCAATCCTGAAATTCCATGTATTGCTGTAATTTCCGGATTGAACAGTACCACCAGGAAGGTATTTAGTTTTCAAAGCGTCCCATTAGGGCTAGCAGGTTCTCCTAAGGGCTGACTCTGCTCTGCTCTGCTCTAACTTTCAGCCACAGACTATGTCACAGCCTGTTTGAAGGTCAAACCACCTCCGGAACACTGGAAGGGACAAGAACGACCTATTTGGGAGTCACAAATTCTGCAAAGGAACATTTTGCACCTCCTTAGGAGTATCTATTGCTTTGTATGCAGAATCATGGCCTACATTCTCTTCCACGGCTGGCTCCACGGCCTCTTCGGGGCAACCCACTCCCCCGTCGCCGGCTGAAGTCTCTCTCCTTTTCCCGGTTCTCTTTGCCTTCTTCGCTGGGTTCTGTCTGTCCACTGTCTTTCTGTCCTGACACACCTTTCTTCTTCCCTACCATTTCCCAGGAGTGCTAAAAGGGAAGGGAAAAACATCTGCATGATATTCCTGAGGCACGGGACAAGACATCCGCTTTTATTTACAAATTGTTAACTTTTTTTTTAAATAGTCCTGTCATGTTTCGGCTATTAACGATTGCATTAGTTTAGGGCAGTGTTTCTCAATCTTAGCGACTTTGGGATGCGTGGAATTCAACTCCCCTGCTGGCAGGGGAATTCTTGAAGTCCACACGTCCTAAAGTTGCCAAAATTGAGAAACACTGGTTTTGGGAACAAGAGGAAATTAAACCCATGAATTGGTAGACGTGGTTCAAATTTCTAAATAGTCCCCCAGTTAGGACTCGAGTGGCAAACACTTGTGCAAGTATTACTACTGCCCTCCTGCTAATTTCCAAACTATTGGCATATGATTTGAAAGAATATGAGCATGCAGGGGGAAAAGAAAGGCAGAGATTTTCAGAACAAAGCATGTCCCAAAGGAAGCTGCGGCAACCCTCAGTCAAGCAAATCAAATTAAAATTCAATTAAATGAACCAATGTTGCATTTTGAGCACAGCTCCGCCTATCACAGTAACCCATCCATTTCATCCTGAAAAGATGTGTGGATGTCAACAGACCCTACATCGCTTTTGTTGCACTGGGTATCATTTTAAAATTGTAGAAATGTGACGTGCAAATGCCGAAATGATCTTCCCTCAACCTTCATGTACCCGGTATTTCTTTCATTTTCAACCCCCTAAACTCACTGGGACGGAGGGCTAAGCTTGCTTCCAAACCGATCTATCCAAGGACTCACAGTAGGTACAATAAGCCAGGAGTATTTTAGGACAGGAGGCACTCAGATACTTAAATAATAAATAAATGCACTCTCTTGTAGCAAGGCCTTTTTTTGACATAATGCTACGTTATAATAGAGTTTGTTGTTTCTGGCTGAGTGTTATATGCAAACCCACCTATTATGGCTTGGCGCAGTGTGTGAACAGGCTGTTACTGCTCATTCAGAGCTCAAAATCCAATTCATCTTTGAGAAGGGGAGGGAGGAAGAGAGGCATCGAGAACGTCTACTCCATTAGTAAAAGGGAAACAATCAAGGGCCAGTGAGCATTCAGCAACAACCAGACTTTGATGGGGTTTGCACATCGCACTGAGCTAGAAGGGAACATCTTCCCGCTGTCCAGTCCAGCCTTCGCAACCAACCCCACCCTCCCCAACTGGGCCCCAGATCTACCGTGTCTGGGTTCCCCTCCAACAGCACATTGATGGCTCTGTTGACATCTCCGTTGCAGTCGTGCAGGGCGATCACACACTCATCCTGATTCTTGCCTGTGATGTCGATCAGCTGCAGAAGCAAAAGAAGTCATGAGCGCAGGTCACCGGCAAACCCAGGCCAAGTAGTTTAGCTCCCTCTCAATCAAGGAACCGCAAAAATATTCGAAAGCCGGAAAAGCTTCTTGAATGTCCTGACTTTTTTCAGCACTGTTGTTCTGAGCTGGTTACCCCAGCTCTGTTTTCATCTCGAATATCCTTCAACCAGGAAGGATCTTTCTTTAGATGTAAATCTTTTGCCTTTCAGCTGGGTGCTTAATAAATTATTTTAACGAGGCAGTAATTCTCTCTTTCACTGGGCTTTTAAAACGTCAGAGAGGTCTTTATTTTTGCTAACCTCCTGGAACATAATAAAACTGCAACAGTCAGGACTCGCAAATTTAAACCAGCTACCTGCACATTCGTTTCCCCAGGAAACAACCCCCCCCCAAAAAAAAATTAATGGCAGGCAGAATAGCAAGGCAGGACGACCCTGCCAATTAGGACAGGACCCTGGAATTAGGACAGAGAACCATTTCAAAGCAGCTCCTATTCTAGGACACTCAGCATCTGAACAGCAAAAATCTTTTGCTGGAAATCTTACATCCTAGAATCAAAAGTCAGGGCAGTCACACTTCATTTTGATTGGAACTGATAAACACTAAAGAGTGAGACATTTTGGCTATTTTACTGGATGCCCCACCTCCAGGGGAGAATCTTTCTCCTGAAGATGAAGGACTCCAGACATGGGTAAGGAAGAAAGCTTACCATGACTATATAGTCCTTTCCTTTTTAAATGACCAGGTTTGGCTTTTCCCACCTCTATGAACATGTAGTACAAAGGGAGCAGCCATAACAACGTAGAGCAGTGTTTCTCAACCTTGGGACCTTGAAGATGTGTGGACTTCAACTCCCAGAATTCCCCAGCCAGCCATGGGAGTTGAAGTCCACACATCTTCAAGTTCCCAAGGTTGAGAAACACGGATGCAGAGTATTTTCACCATGATCACATCTCTTTTTGTTTCACCAACGGCTCTTGCTGGCTTTTTTCTGTTATTGTCATTTCAGGCATCATTTTATTTACATGAATACCATCACCCACTTCGAAAAGCCTACTTATCAACCGGCAAGCACAATGCCAAACATAGAGACGCTGCATTAAAAGACAAGTCTGCCAGCAGAAGCGGTCAAGGGATGTGCAGTTTGGCGTGCCTCCCACTCTTATGAAAAATGCTTTTTTTTCTATCGTATCAGATTTTATCGTGAAAGTTGGATTCCCTGCCTCAGGATACATTTACAGCTGGGCCAACCTTCAAAACAGCCCCTTTCAGGTTTGCTTGCTGAAAAACACTTGGAAAAAAACAAAGTGGAATTGAAAGAAAACCATCCCGTGGGTTCGATGCCGTGGATGGGCCTCCCCATCTCTTCCGATGCACTTACTTGCTTCACTTTCTCCTCAAAGTCAGCATCGTTGTGGTCCGAGATCATCTGTGCAAGTCGAATTTGCTCTGCAGTGGCCTGCGAAGAAAAGGACCAGAGACAGAAAATGAGAGGCTTTCATTTTCAGAAAGGCCATGTCCAAAAGGAATAAAAAAGATGGAGGGAGAGGTTAAACGTTATAACCATTCAGGTGAGGTGCCGGGTGCATAACAGAACTTTGGGACTAAGAATGGATTTGTGTCCAAGTTAAGGCAAATTCCCCATTCAGAATATGGCCTGAAATAGAGAGGCTCAAATCCGAACTATGGTTCACAAATTGCACTCCCCTATGATGAGGCTTGCTTCATTTGGTCTCCGCAAGTTCTGAAATTCCAGCTGTTATGAGCTGCTCTATGGTTTAGTGCAACATGCAAACCAAGCTGCTGTGGCTCCAAACCATGTTTAAAAATCAAATCACAGCTTAGCGTAACAAGTCCTCTGTTTCCCTCATTAAACAAGAACAGTTGTGAGGGAGGAGACAACACCTCAAGACTAATGGGAGTGGCAAAACCTTGCAAATAATCTAATCCCAGAGTTTATCAACCAGGCTGGAAATATTCCAGGAGTCTGATTGCCTGGGTAACCAGATGCAATTGGCTAAGAAATGGGGGGGGGGGTTTGACCCCTCCTGGCACCTCTCCTTGTTGAGAGAGTGAAAGGGTAAAGGCAGCTATTCTTCCTAACTTGTCCTGGTTTCTCTACATAGCCAAAACTCCGCCTTCTCTCCCAAGTATGCAAGTTAAACTTCACGCGAAGAACAAACAAAGGTGGAGAAGGCACCTTTGTCTCGCAGTAAGACGTTAGGGCCAGGTGCCACCAAGTCACAACTGAAAGAGCAAGGAGCCAGGACTCTCTGCCCTCTTGGCGAGCAAGCCAACCAGTTTCCATGGATGCTCCTTGCTCCGCCCTCACCTGTGGCCTCTGCTTGTGCTGTGCCTGGTTCTGTGTCTGTGTCTGCTCCCAGCTTCCCCGGGTTCGGTTAGTGCCCACCGATGTCATCATTTACAGTATATACAAATAACAGTATTTACAAGGCAGAACTCTGTAAGGGAGGATGGAAAAAGAGAACAGGTGTAAAAGTGGAGCCAACCAACGGACAGCTCAGCCGCTTTACCTCTTTCACTGTCAATGATGTCTTTTACGTATCGACCCGACGCTTATTTCCTTTTTATTCTCAGCTAATATCAAGCACTGCATCAATCAAGCATTGTCAGTGTTTTTGCTAAAGAATCACATGTTCTCTTTCCCAGGTTTTCCCCCTACCCTGCACAAAACTGCAGCAACCCCACCTTTGGACCACAGATCTGGCCATGTTAAATGCATGGAGGATAACGCTTTATCAGTAGTTACTAGCCCAGAGGACTATACGTTGCCATCAATGTTGGAGGAACACAAACCCATCCTGCTTACTGGCTACTGGGAGAATGATAAAGTGGTCTAGAACGTTCTTGAGACTAATCCAGGAGCACTGCTTAATGTTTTCTTCCCTCCTCATTTCCACTGGCTTCAATACCAGTTCTGAATAACAGACTTTAATTCTTAGCCATTGAAATCCAGTTTTTAAAAAACTGATAAACTTTCTCCTAAGAAAAGTTTCCATTACTAATGGAAAGTTAGAGGTGTGTTGCAACACGCCACCCAAAAAGAAGGATAGTTTTTTAGAAAAGCAACAACTGTTCTCTACTGTAAGTGGACTGATTTCTCATCTTTAGTACCAAGCAATCTGTTTGGAATAAGGTTTAAACCAGAATTTCCTGGCCCTGTAATGAAATTCAACCTGACTTCATAGCTGTTCTCAAGGGAACTAAAAGAAGCTTCATAAAATCACAATCAGGGAAGGACTAAACACTCCAGAAAGAAAACCAAAAGGCAGTTGAGAACCGAACTGGATGTTATGAATTCCTAGTCAGAATGGGGAAGTTTGCAGAACTATGCAGAATTTCCCAGCCTTGGAGATGCATTTAACGAAGCACACACAGAGTGGGCAAAAATACAGCAGATGCTCTATAAAACAAATATTCTTAAATCCAGACTGCCAATGCAGAATGGTCACTGTAAACGAGAATACACACAAGAGAGAAATCAAAGACCAAACCTAGAGGTCTTTAGAGCTCTATTATGAACAGTACAATTATCACTGGAGTTACTAACCGCGTTTCAACTCTCCCTTCCTGAGCAGAGAACTGATCCTCCTCCTTCCTTCCCTCTAAGAAATTACTCCACATGTGAGCCACTTACAGCAAAGTGATTCAAGGGAGATGCAACACAACTTGGTTTCCAGGAATCCAATCTGCTCTTTTGATTAGCTTCAGCAGGGGGTTCTTAAAAGTCACTGACAGCAAATGGCTCAACAAGGAAACCTTTCCAATCCACGGACCAGGCCTGTTGCTAGCAAATTTTATGCTGGGCAGCAGACGCACACAGGTGAGAGAAGGAAAGTGATGCAACAGGGTTTCTGTTTGTCTCTTGCTCAGAGATTGAGCCCTCATCTTTGGAGACAGTGGGAGAAAAGAGAGGCGCTCTCTCTTGTCAAGCTAACAGCACATTTCTAGAGGGCCAAGGGACAGGAAATGCATGCCTGGAAGGAAAAGCCCTCTCCAATGTCAATTTTTGGGAAACCTAGCATTCTTATAATCATCAATGTACAGCAATGATGTACGATGTACAACCGAATGACCCGAAAGTTGTTACAGCAGAGGCCCAAAGTGGGAAGAAGTAAATAACTTCTTCTTAGGCTACAAAAACAGACTGCAGAGCAACACATCTTCCTACTGGATTGATGTTCCCAAAAGGAGCCATTTCTGGCATAGCCAGCAAAACAGGTGTGGTGTTCTTAGATGCTCAATTCTGGATTTTTCACCATTTTCTTTTCTCAGAGAGCAGCACGCAAAATGGGGTGCACATGGCAGCAATGGAGTACACATACACACATCCCTGGCTTACACAGCAGCCTCCAATTAAAAAGGAAGAGACAGCAGGTGATGGAAGCGACCCTAGAGAGCGGCTGCCAGCAGAGCCAAGACAGTGGGGTGGATGGAGCATCAACCTGACTTAGCGTACTGGTGATTCTTGTAGCATGATTTTTCCACGTCTCACAACTTCACCCTGCAAGAAGAATGGCCGATTCCCAGGAGCTAGTAACACCTCCCCATTTGGACCCTGCACTCACAGCAGCCCTGCCAGCTTCAGTGAAGTGAAACCTAGCTCGAAAGATACCTGGTCAAGCAGTTGGGAGCAAATGATTGGGGGAGAGATGGGAAAAGACAGGACTTCTTACCCCCCATTTTAAAGGTCACTTTGAAGTTTTTTAAAAAAATGAAGACAAGGGAAGATTGAATGCTCTGGAGAGGGGGGCGTTAAATCTTTTAATTTAGTTCTCATGTAATTCTCAAATGAGAAGGCTATTAAAAAAAGTCACTCAAGTCTTTTGGTCAGGGGAGATCAAACATGACAAATGGTCCTTCTTTACAAGAGTGAAAATCCATCATAAGAGCATGAGAAAGCAAACCCCTTGGTCAAGATGAATGAGTTTGTAAAAGATTAAGCCTAGGGAGCACCAGCTTGCCCACCCCATGATCTGCTCCAATATGATTCCCTAAATGGGCCAGATGGATGCTTCAAAGAAGCTTCTAGGTCTCTCACACTATCTGCAGTGTAGCGTACTGCTCCTGAACCTGAAGCCATCACACTTAAAACTGCTGGATTTCTGCGTATCATTCAACCCCTTTTAAAGCCATCGACCAACCCATTTGCAATACATTTACTGCCAGATAGCAGATAATATATTTCAAGACTGGTAATAAAGATGGAGAGGGTGAAAAAAAATGCCACAAACAAGATCAGAAGTTTGGAGAAAAGAAGCTATCTGAGGAAAAAGACTAAGTTAATAATAATAAGTTAAGGAAAAGATAATGCAAGAGTCTCCTTTAAAGAATGGCTGTTCTCACCTTGCAATCAGGTGAAAAAGCCCAAGAGGGCTTAAGATTCAGGGTGGCTAAACTACATAGGGAATGGAATCTATACTAGCCTTCCCCAACCTAATTTCTATAATACTTTACTGCATTTTCAAACCTACAAAACACTTGATGACAATCCAGTAAACAATGGCAGTATTACTCTTTCCATGTTATTCCTGATACAGAATAACTCTTCCACTCAGGGAAAGCAAGCGCTTAATCATTCATAGCCCATTCTTCTGTGCAACGATAATGCACTGCTTGCTGATTTCTGAATGGAGACCTTCCTGCTTGCTAAACTGTTAACTACTACCTTCAAACAGCGGCGTGAAAGCAGGAATCCTCTCTATTAACAAGTTCAGAAGAAAAGCCATTGCATATTGGACATCATACGAAAGAGAGACTGGACTAACAGGGCATCTTCCAGTTCTTTAAGAAGACAGCCATAAGAAGTTATTGTTCCAGTGGAAAAAAACAGCCTTGCTGACCTGAGAGTTGCATTTGGCCAAGCACTTTCTTCTACCTAAGACTGCAGTTCCCTGTACATCCACCTGGAAGTAAGACTGACTTACCTCAGAACAAACACTAAGAGGAGCAGCCCAACTGAAAAACTAAAACACAAAATGCAGATTACTAAAATATGCAATGATACACGCTTACATTTCACTGATATATTTAGTAAAAGCATACGGCTTGATAACTAAGTTCTCTATAACACGAACAACCCAAATATTTTTAATCCCTTTTCTTTATAAGGAAGTACCCACACTTGGAGGATAATAAAATGCTTGGTTAATAATGATCGCCAGGTTGAGAAGATTCTGGCACTATTTCTTTGAAAATTATAGTATGATTTTGTTTAAAAGAACCTCCTTGAGAGAACAATGCCAGGAAAAGTAAAGGAGACAAGAATACCAACACTGGTTTTAGGCCTAAAAAAAAAAAATCAGAGTTCTGTGGGATGAACAAGTGAGTAGAAAGAGAACAGGAGGGGCAGTGGCCATTTCAGAAAGATGAAATTATTCCTCTACTGTGGCCTCTTATCCACCAACAAATTGTGCCGACCTACAGTCACTGTGATCTCCCACCAATGTGGCCTTGTTGGCTTGGAAATGACCCAAACTGTATAAATGGGAAAGCCATTTAAGAACATCATGAATAGTAAGACTTGAAAGAATGAAATAGTGGGCCTACAAGTTTCTTACAGTTACAAAGTTCCAGGTGAAATCACTTCACACGATACAGAAAACAAAAATGTTTTTGTTCATTTAAGGGAAATTGCAAGGGGAAGATCGAGGACATGGCAGAAGAGAGAATAAAGGAATATCAGTGTAAATTCCCGGGCCTCAGGAATTAAAGAGAGCTGGGAAGCATCTGTAAAGACATGGAAGCATGATGCATACCCCATTAGTTACAGAATCCCAAGGAGAATGGCTTTCTAAGAAAGGGAAAGACGATCTGCAACTTCATCCTTGGAATGCCTCTACATCGCTCTTTCTCTGCAAATGTTGCCCCCTCTGGGTTAAAAGCTTCCAACAATCCTGGAAAGTTCCTTCAGCAAAACCTCTGAAGGTCCACAGCAGGTCCACAAGGCACAGAATATCGTGCATTGGGTCCAAGAGGTAAAGGTGAGCACATCGGCTTTCTTACTAAGCACCAGCACGGCCTGGAGTCAAGCTGGATTCGAACCCCAGTCAGGCGCAACATTCACAGGGACCAGTCACACTCTCACAGCCAAACTCTCACACACTTTATGGTGAGGAGACAACAGAGGAACACGCTTCTGCCTCCTGAAAAAGGAGCTGGGATTCTTAAGAGGAACCACCACACTGCAACATTAAGAAGCCTTCAAAAAAGCACAGGATTAAAAAGTAAACTAAAAACAGAGAAAACAGCCTGTTATGATGGGGGAGGGAGCAGTTAGAGGCAAATTAAGACTCCAATCTTATGCAAAAGCTTCACTGCGTGGAACAGGGAGGGAGAGGGGGTCACTTTACATGAGTTATCTCTAAGCGGGACTTTTTGGGGAGTGGGATAAAACCATCGTCTATCCTCTACATGAGTTTTCCCCAACTGGGAGCTTGTGAGGAGGGGGATGAAGCCGTTCTCTATGTGCAGGGCGGGCGAAGCCAGGAATGGTGGCCCGATCAGGAGCGAGCCCAACCTTGCTCAAGTTTATTTAACTCCTCTCCCTCACCGGAGCTTCGGCTCTCCCCCTCCCCAAGCGGGGAGCCGAGGACCGACTCGCCGCCGGCTCGGAAAGGCCGCGGATCCGGGTCCAGGCGGGCACGGCCTGCTCCGAGCCCTGGATCGCGCCCCCTCGGATCCCATCCCCAGCAGCCCCCGCGGGGAGGCCAGCCCGGA